CCTACGCAAATTCATCCTAGTTTTTTTTTACGATATCTTTATCTATAGCCCAAACATCTCCACCCACATCTAGCATTTACACCAGACATTTCAGATTTTGCAGGAACATGAGTTAGTTGTTAACAAGAAAAGTGTTCCTTTGGCCAATCTAAGCTGGAGTATTTAGGCCACTTGATATCAGAAAGGGGAGTGGAGGCAGACCCGAAGAAGATTGAGGCCATGGTCTCTTGGCCACGACCGTTGACTGTTAAGGGTTTAAGAGGTTTTTTAGGGCTGACGGGTTATTATAGGAGGTTTGTGAAGGGGTATGGTTCCATCGCACAACCCCTCACTCAACTACTTAAGAAGAATTCCTTCACTTGGAATGAGTCAGCCCAAATGGCTTTTGATAGGCTCAAAGAAGCAATTACTATTGTCCCGGTATTGGCTATTCCAGATTTCACACTTCCGTTTGAGATTCAGACAGATGCATCAGGTAAAGAACTTGGGGGCTATTTTGGTGCACCAATCTCGCCCAATAGCTTTTCTCAACAAGGCCTTCTCGTCTACAGCCAAGCTCAAATCAAATTACAAGCGAGAATTGATGGCCATTGTCTTCGCGGTCAAGAAGTGAAGTCACTACTTGCTCGGTAGGTAGTTCATAATAAAGTCAGATCAAAGTAGCTTCCAATTTTTAACGGACCAGAGAGCCAAAACCCCTGAATAACACAAATGGATTTCCAAACTCATGGGCTTTACTTTTGAAATTCAATATTATCAAAGGGCTTCAAACAAAGTGGCAGTCGCTTTCTCACGAAAAGAAGAAGGGGTTGAGTTGGCGAAATTTACAGCCCTATCTGCGATACAATTTTCTGAGTATGAGAACCTAGCGTCAAAGGCATAAACAGATCCGAAATTACAGGTAATAATACAAGACCTCCTCCTTGATTTCTGTAGTCGACCCAACTATCAACTCCGCATGGGCTGCTTATTCTATAAAAACAGGTTGGTCATTCCTAAGGGGTCCACATTTGTTTCAAAACTATTGGCTGAGTTCCACCAGAGTCTTAGTGGGGGCCACTCCGATTTTTTTAGAACATATAAGAGAGTATCCTCGGTGGTCTATTGGGAAGGTATTCGGGGAGATATCCAACGATATATCAAGGCTTGCATTGTTTGTCAACTAAACAAGCAGTCATCATTAAAGCTAGCAGGACTCCTACAGCCCCTGCCCATCCCAAATCAGGTTTTTGAGGATATCTCTATGGATTTTATTAGGGGATTACCACGTTCGAAAGGGGTGGATAACATATTGGTGGTGGTTGACTGACTCACCAAATACAGTCACTTCTTCAGTCTTGGTCACCCTTACAATGTAAAGGATGTGGTTGCCATATTTATTAAAGAAGTGGTCAAGCTCCACAGCTTTCCAAATTCCATTGTTTCGGACAGAGATAAACTTTTCATGAGTCAACTTTGGCAGGAATTGTTCAAGGCTGTTGGAACCATCCTGAAATTTAGTTCGACCTACCACCCACATACCGAGGTAGTCAATTGGTGCCTCGAGGCTTATCTCCGATGTTTCTGAAATTCGCAGCCACGACAGTGGTCCTTGTGGCTTACTTGGGCAGAATTTTGGTACAACACCACTTATCATGGCTCCATATGGGTGACCCCCTTTAAGGCCCTTTATGGAAGAGATCCTCCCACACTCTTGAAATTCACAGATTGCCCCTCAGCCGTAGAAGATGTAAATGTACAAATGGTTGAAAGGAATGCCATGTTAAAGGAGATTAAGGATAACTTAGTTATTGCTTAAGCTCATATGAAAAAAAATGCAGACCTGCGTAGGAGAGATGATTGTTTCCAACTTGGTGACTCTGTTTTTTTGAAGTTATAACCCTATAGGTTTAAATCTCTTGCCAGGAAGATGAATGAGAAACTCAGTCTCTGCTTTTATGGTCCCTGCGCTGTTTTGGAACGAATTGGGGCAGTGGCTTACAAACTTGATTTGCCTCCCATGACTCGAATTCATCCAGTCTTCCATATTTCTCAATTCAAGCAAAGTTTACATCAATCTATGCCAGTCCAACCTCTGTCGGAATTCCTCTCTGAAGACCTAGAATTGATGGTCTAGCATGTTGCCGTCTTGTCTGTACACTTTGTTGGATGGCTCTAAGGAGGTTCTCATCCAATGGAAGGATTTACCTGAGTTTGAAGCCACCTGGGAACCGTATGAGGTGATTAAAGCGCAGTTTCCTCAATTTCACCTTGAGGACAAGGTGAATCTTCAAGGAAGGGGTATTGATAGACCTGCTGTGCATAAGGTGTACACACTTAAGGGGCGTAATAGACAGGTAGGAGGTTTGTTACGGTGTAGGGTCCAAAAGTCACAGGTGTAAAGTGGGTGTGAGTCTGTGAGAGTAAGAATTGTGTGAGTAAGGGGCAATTACGGAAGGGTTTAGTATATAAATATTATGAGACTTAGCANCGGCTTCCCGAATTCCATTGTTTTAGACAGAGATAAACTTTTTATGAGTCAATTTTGGCAGGAATTGTTCATGGTTGCTGGCACCATCCTGAAATTTAGTTCGGCCTACCACCCACAGACCGATGGACAGACCGAGGTGGTCAATAGGTGCCTCGAGGCTTATCTTTGATGTTTTTGCAGTTCTCAGCCACGACAGTGGCCCTTGTGGCTTACTTGGGTAGAATTTTGTTATAACACCACCTATCATGGTTCCATCAAGATGACCCCCTTTAAGGCCCTTTATGGAAGAAATCCCCCCACACTCTTGAAATTCTCAATTTGTCCCTCAGCCATAGAAGGTGTCAATGTACAAATGGTTGAGAGGAATGCCACGTTAAAGGAGATTAAGGATAACTTAGCTATTGCACAAGCTCATATGAAGAAAAATGCAGACCTGCATAGGAGAGACGATTGTTTCCAGCCTGGTGACTTTGGTTTTTTGAAGTTATAGCCCCATAAGTTTAAATCTCTTGCCAGGAAAAGGAGTGAGAAACTCAGTTCCTGCTTCTATGGTCCTTACATTGTTTTGGAACGAATTGGCCCAGTGGCTTACAAACTTGATCTACCTCCCATGGCTTGAATTCATCCAGTCTTCTATATTTTTCAGCTCAAGAGGAGATTACATCAATCTGTGGCAGTCCAACCCCTGCCGGAATTCCTATCTGAAGACCTGGAATTGATGGTTCAACCTGCTGTCGCCCTATCTGTGCGCACTCTACTGGATGGCTCTAAGGAGGTCCTCATCAAATGGAAGGATTTACCTGAGTTTGAAGCCACATGGGAACCGTATGAGGTGATTAAAGTGTAGTTTCTTCAATTTCACCTTGAGGACAAGGTGAATCTTCAAGGGAGGGGTATTGATAGACATGCTGTGCATAAGGTGTACACCCTTAAAGGGCGTAATAGACAGTGAGGAGGTTTGTTGTGGAATAGGGTCCACAAGTCACAGGTGTAATGTGGGTGTGAGTCTGTGAGAGTAAGAATCATGTGAGTAAGGGAAATTACGGAAGGGTTTAGTATATAAATATTATGAGTCTTAGTAATAGGTTTAAGTATAATTTTAGAGGCTGAACAATGGAGGCTCTTGGCTCCTCGAAATGCTAGGATTTACTGGTTACAGTTCTCTTGTTCCATTGTCATCTGATTATCATTTTTCTAATATCTGATTCATATACATATTGGAGTTTATATAGATTGCTTGGCTTTGCATTGTTATTGCTATGGTTTGGTTGTGTGTTGAGTTAGATTGCAGGTGGTCCTATCAATATTCTCTCTGAATACCAAGCTCTTGTAATTTTGTTCGCTATTCGCAACCTCTTGTAAACTTGGCTAATCACCAAGAACACTCATATAAAAGATAACAGTGGATGTAGGAATCGCTTTAAGCATCTGAACCACTAAAAAAATTCTCATTGTCTCATTTATTATTAAGACTTTGCATGCTACTGTAAAACTAATGACCTTTAACCAAATCTCATAATCATTTCATGTGTAACTTCTAAGACTCTCTTAGCACTTTGTATGTGCAACGTCGTTGGTGTCAAACACCTTTTGTGTTGTTGTCATCATATGGATCTTTGTTCAGTGCAGTTTGTTGTGAATTAGATTCTGAGCTTGCGTATATGGACATTAGAGAGCAAGAATTCTTAATAACAAGTGAACTACTATTTTTCTGCACGCTGAAATTGGATAGTGTTGAAACGTTGACTGGAGCATCAGACAGATTAGTCTTCTTTGACGTGAAAACATAAAAATGGAGGCGTACCATTTATGTGCCACTTTCAGTAATGTTTGATACAGAGTTTTGTGTGCTGATGAGCTGGGGTCTTTGATAGGTTTGCTTTGTCCTAAAAAAAAAGAAAAGTATAGAGGTCACGAAAAAAGCTCCGGTCACTGATGTTGATGTTGAATTTTGATCCAAAATTGATGAAGAACGTGTTTGAAAGAGAGTTGGCGGATGAAAGAAGGAAATGAGAAAGGGATTGGAGAAGAAAGGGAAGGAAGAGGATGCTAAAGAAGTGAAGCTTTTGCATGAAATCTGAAAGGAATTGCCTACTTCTTTTGGTGGGAGAAAAAGTTCTCGATATGTTAGTTAAGTGAATGACAATAATGAGTCATGAATATGCAAAATATCAAAATGGATGTTTGATACTAATATATACTATGTTTTATTTCTTCAAAGAAGAATATACAAATCCTAAAATATCAATCAAAAGTAAAGTCTTAGAACCCGTGAATTACATGATATGATCACGGGGAATCCGGTTTTTTCTATTATGTTTTTATGTTTTCGGTCTTCTACGAAATTGACAGTTACTTTCAGATATGAAGGTATCAGCCCACCCCATTGTAGCATTCTAGCTTTCCAGGCCCATCTCAAAAAGGAGCTATAAAGTCAACCCATTCCCTACCGCCCATAGTTTCAATTTCTTTTCAGCTGTTTTACTTTTTAGTGCACCACGCATTGTGGAATTAAGTGCGCCAACTAAACAGAACAGGAAGCCAAACACGAAAGATGGCTGGACAGCCGAAGGTGACTAAACCAAGCCGGAGTGACGAGGTCTTAGATGCAGACCAACAGCTCAGAATCTCCTATCAGATCAGGGCTCAGTTTGATTCCTCTGCCCCGAAACGACCCACAAAGCCCAACAGAAGTGAACCCGATTTAACGACAACGGACAACCCTTCTACACCTGTGTCCACTACTCACCAGAACATCCCAGAGTTTGACAAGCTTCGATCTCTTCAGTCTCAATCTTATGTCAGTACCCTCTTTGACGTGCTCTATATATCTTCTTTTTTAAGCTCATCGTGTATTGAGGAGTCTTGCAATTTTTAAATCAGCGTTATTTATGTTTGCAGGCTATGTATCCAGTACAGGGAGCAAATATGGTGCCAGATGAATTTGTGGAGACACACTACTACAGAGAGTTGTTTTCTATTGACAAGCAGCACCACACGGTACGGTTTTTCACGCTATAACTGGACTTTTCTGGTGAGATTTTTGAGTGACATGTATGTTTGTGATTGAACAGACGGGGAGTGGATTCATAAGAGTGATGAAGGAAGGAGGTGAAGAAAATGGATTTAACCTTGAATTAAGAAATGGACCGTCACATGGAAATGGAGATAGAGCTGCATTCAAGAGCAATCCTGCAACAAATGACTGGATTCCTAGTGTTTAGTTATCTCGCAAGTCTATGACAAGATGTTTTCTTTGTCTATTCCAAGCCAAATCTGAGCGACAGCGGTTAGATCTGAGTGGCGGCTGATTGAAAAATGTGTTACATGTGGAGGACTAGGACCTTCCTATCGAAGAACATTGTATTTTTATGAATGTATTATTGCTTGCATTGGNAAGTCTCGCCATTCTAAAGTGAAAACATTGCTTGCTATTGGTGCCTTAATTAATTCATTTACTTACGTCTTCCTCACGCCACACTTCACTACTTCAATCCTTGTCCTGCACGTATGGCATCATTTGCCAAAACACAAGAAATAATAGCTCCTTCCCTACTTCCAGCACCGATCATTTCACACATCAAACTTATCATGTCTTATTTCTAGATTACAACATTTCAACAATGGTTATATAATCCCATAACTTCCCAGTCCTCATATTACCTCATCCATCTCCTCAGGGTGTCTTTGGAACGTCTTCAATTCCCCCTTGTGATTGTACTGCAATTGTTTCTCCTTGTCTGCGTTTTGGGTGCAACCTGGAAAAATAAGTAATCATTAAATTCATTTTCACATAAACAAATAAAACCACAAACTGTTTTTCCTCATAGACAATTACAAGAATAATGCAAACAATTAGCAAGGATATAACAGAAGTTTCAAAATTTACAATATACGTATCCTTCTCCCATATGTCGCACAACCATACCCTTAAAATAAATTTAATTATATAAAGAAAAGGAAAGCAACTGGGAGTACTAGCACACTATAGCAATAAAATAAAATAAAATCCATATTTAGTTGTGAATTTAATTCTTTCTTTACATAGGTTTATTCGATCTAAATTTACACAACCAATCCTTCCTTATTATCAACTGAGTCTAACTATTGGTTCTGTAATACCCGCATTTTTGTGGATTTTATTTAATTTTATTTATGTGAATTTGGGGGATAATGTGAAAGAATTAAAACTTTTTGAGGAAGTTTAGTAAAAAATTAGACCTGGTAGGACTATTAATAGTTTGGCAGGAGTAGTTGGGTGCAACTGGAGTGTAAAAATCTTTTAAGGGACATTTTGGAATTGATTAAAGATGAGGGGACTTAATGATATTGTGACATGCAAAATTTTCCAAGGGTGATGCGTAACAAAATAGAACTTTAGTTATGAATTTGGTAGACCTCAGGCCGTAACAAAATAAAACTTTAGGTATNTGAATCAATGAACTCAAAGTTAAGCCTATTACTCGTTGGGCTAGCCCAGCCCAGCCCAGGGGCAGGCCCTTCTTCCTAGCCCAAATGGAATTAACTTGTGGCCATATTATCCCCATTCTCGAACCTTTCGGGCTTAAAGCTCAATGGGTTTGGATCCCTTTGTATGGCCCATGCATTTACCAACAACATCGTTTTACGAGGTATGTCATATCCCTCTACGCTACAATCATTGGACGACATTATGTGGAACAAGAAGCGGAGCTGCTGGGTAAAAGCGAAAAGTCTCTGAGATTATATGTTGAAGGTAGTGCATTTTGGAAAGATCTTGTTCGTTCATCAAATGTTCTCCAAGTTGATTTTCCAATTCGTCTCTAGCTTTCTTCAACACCTCAGGATGGTTTAAAAGATATAGTGCCCATTCTAATGTAACAGCAGATGTGACGGTCCCCACAAGAAGCATAATCTGTAAATTAAATTTCGTTAAAACCAATTGTTATATGTCTTAGACGAAAGAGGAAAAAAAAAACCAAATAATATAAAGGATAGGTATTATACTAACCAAAATAAGGCCTTCGATAATTTCATCAGTATAGTATTCAGGCTGTGATTCTTGCAAAGAAAGTAGACGACTAATCATGGTGTTGTGTGTGATTTTTCCGCCAAGCTTGGGCCAACCCGAGGATATAGCTCGATCCAGAATGAGCTCGGCAATTATGATTAATCAACCCAACATGAGCTCGTCGAGCTATAACTTGACCCAGCATAAGCTAGTCGCGAACAATTCAAGGAATTATTCAATCAATCCCCAGATTACTTCAAATCCTAGATATTGCGGGAAAGACTGGATCAATGGTTATCACTGTGCAATCACAGCGCCTAATCGCGAGGATATCAGAATTATGATTTGAATCAGTTGTAATCCCCTAAATTTCATTTCTTCTTTTGTACAAATCTTGTATATAAACCCCCCTCAGACAATGAGGAGGGGGTTACGAATTTCGGATAAGAATTAACTGTAAGCTCTCACAGTAAATACAAAAACACAGTGGACGTAAGCTGTTAACCTGGCCGAACCACTTTAAAAATCTCTTTGTTCTTAGTTCATTTCATTCATATTCATCGCTGATTTTCACTAATCACACACACATCGGTTCCGATCCTGACAAGGTCGATCGGATCACGCTGGTTTGTACAGAATTCTATATCAATATTTTGGTGCTAGAAGGAGGGCCTTCCGCCAATATTTCAAAGATTCTAGCAAACATTCACCGTAATTTATCTATTCTAAGACCAAAATGATGTACACCAGATCGAAAACTACCATCGAAAATCATGAGAACGTGGAAACCACCCACCAGGAGGTGCAACAGGAAAACGTTGGACGCCAACCACCTGTGCTGCCAACTCAGCATATCGCGAACAACCAAGGGGAAGGGACGTCAGCCCCCGAGAATGGCCAGCTAATGGAGATGATCAGGACAATGGTTGCACAAGCAGTGCAATTGAATGTGGCTAAGTTGAGGAACCAACAACTAGTTGCCCAGAACCACGACCAGCCGCGTATCACTAATGCAATCCCAATAGGTATGAATTCTATAGGTGGACAATCTATTTCGTCACTGCCAAGGGGCGATCAACACCTCTAACCTCGCAGGCAGCACTTCATGCACGAGCGTGAGTCTCACAGGCAAACAAACCCCGGAAGGCGGCTGAGGGAAAGTGAAGGCAACAGATACCATCGAGAAGCTCGGTGGTATCCCCAACATCAGTGTACTGGTTTTAACCCACGCCCAAGCAAGATCGATCTTCACAGGCTCGCAAAGTGAGTCATGTGCATCAATCTGGCAATGACCGATATTTCGATTATAACAGACGTCGCGAGCAATGCACTGACGAGCATGATAACACATATCAACCTAGCCATCATGACTCGACCTCGCGCATCAATGCACACGCCGGAGGAGCTTCGCATGCAACAGACTTGCTGACTCATTTGCTCAAGGTGAGGCTTAACAGAGCCTGTCAGGGCAACCAAAAGAAAGACTTAGATCGCATGTAGAGGATACTTAACGATCTAAAAGCTCGCTAGAACAATCTGGCAGAGAAAGTAATAAGTTCCCCCTTTACGGAGGAAGTTCATCAAGCCCTGCTCCCATAAGGGTTCAGGGCAGCGAAACGCAAGTTCGACTGGAAAGGGGACCCTAGAGACCACCTCGAAAACTTCAATGACCTAATGGAGTTACATCAGGTTAGTGACTTAGCAAAATGTTGGTGCTTCGTAGTTACATTAGTCGAAGATGCCAAGAGGTGGTACAAAAGACTCAAGGCAAACTCCATCAACTCCTGGCAACAATTCTCTTTGCTATACTTACAACAATTTTAGGCGAGGAGGCAGTTCACTATATCGTTTAGCTACTTGAGCAACATTTTCCAAGAGTGAGACGAATCACTGACCTCGTATTTAACAAGGTTCTAGAACGAGTAGGCAAAAGTTGTTGACACCCCCGAAGAATCCATTCGAACTTTACTGATCGCAGGGATCAGACTTAACATGGAGCTATGGAAAGAGCTCTAGAGTGAAGATCATGTGAGCCAGGCCAAATTCTACCAGATGGCCACGAAATACCAGCGAGTAGAGAGCTCACTGGCAGCGCTAGCCAAAAGCTCAACACGGGGGGCAAGGGACAAGATCGCCCCTCAGATGAGCAAAAGGGTCAAGATCGCAATGACAGAGATCGCAACAGGTCCCAAGGGAAACAGAGGATAGATAATTGTGGTGATTGGCAACCTTTCCCGTGGTATGTAGAATACACCCCTCCTACTCAAGACATTGCCCACATCTACGAAGTGTCTTGAGAGACAAAAAGACTGGCTGCTCTAGCAAGGATGAGGAGGGCTCTAGGCAGAAGAGATCGGTATAAATATTATCAGTACCATAGAGATGTCAGGCACAACACGAATGATTGTCGAGCCCTGAAAGATGCCATCGAAGACCTGATAAGAAAAGGCCATTTGAAAGAATTTGTTAAGGTAGAACCGACTCGTGAAAACCCTAGCAAGCAAAGTAGTCAGGCCCTAGGATAGGTTTAGGTTCAGGTTCAAGTTCCAATTCAAAAGGCTCAACCAAATCCCAATGAAGTCTTCATGAATATATCTATGGGGGACCCAACATAGCAGGGAGCTTGAGACGGACTCACGAGCAGTATGCTTGGGAAGCGAGGATGGACTCGGTCGATCGAATAATGAGCTACGAGAGAAAGCCACCCAAACGGCCCAAACAGGAAAGCAAGGTAGTTGTTAGGGCCAAAAATCGTCTTGGGCTTAACGAGGCCTAATAACGAAATAAACATGTCACGGCCCAAGGCCTCAACCCAATCCCAATTGGGCCTACGTTTAAAATCACCTTGTAAACTACCCACTCTATGAGTTGGGCTATTCTATAAGTTAAGCTAAACTAGGTTTCAGCCCATTAGCCTGCAACAGTCTATAAATTCTATTTCCTCTTCTACTAAGATTCCAAATCTTACTAAAACTACGAAACTTGATTCGATAAGGTCAAGAAATCATATCTTTTTCATGATAGGGATTATCTCCCAAAATAGGACTTAGTGTCCTACTAAGATTCCAAATCTGATTTAAAATATTAAACTTAATCTGATAAGGTCAAGAAAATATTTCTTTCTTGATAGGGATTATCTCCAAAAAAAGAAGACTCAATGTCCTACTAGGATTCCAACACCTTGGGTTTACTATAAACACAGAGGCT